TCTGCCATTCAGCCAGTTCTCAATCCACTTCACTGCCCACTCATCCAGCCCACACTTCCTGAGCTTGCGTATGAGGGTGTTACGGGAGACAGTGTCAAAAGCCTTGCAGAAGTTGAGGGAGACAACATCCACTGCTCTCCCCTCATCCGCCCAGCCAGTCATGTCATCGCAGAAAGCTATCAGATTGGTCAAGCGTGATTCCCCTTGGTGAATCCATGTTGACTACTCCTGATAACCTTCTTTTCCTCCACTTGCTTGATGATGACCTCCAGAATGAGTTGCTCCATCATCTTTCCTGGGACAGAGGTAAGGCTGACCAACCTGTAGATCCCTGGGTCCTCCTTCTTGCCCTTTTTGAAGATTAGAGTGACATTGGCTTTTCTCCAGTGCTCGGGCACCTCTCCTGTCCTCCAGGACCTTTCAAAGATGATGGAGAGTGGCTCAGCAATGCCATCTGCCAGCTCCCTCAGCACTCGTGGGTGCATTCTATTGGGTCCCATGGATTTGTGGGCATTTAGATCGCTTAAGCAATCCCTCACACAGTCCTCCTCCAACAAAGGAAGGTCATCCTTCCTGCAGGCTTCCTCTCTTACCTCCAGAGACTGGGATTCCTGAGGGCCAGCCTTAGCACTAAAGGCCGAAGCAAAGAAGGCATTCAGTAACTCTGCCTTCTCTGCGTCCTCTGTCACCAGGGCATCCACCTTGTTCAGCAGCAGCCCCCCATTATCTCTCGTCTTCCCTTTGCTGCTGATGTACTTGAAGAAGCTTTTCTTGTTGTCCTTGACATCCCTTGCCAGATTTAATTGCAGGTGGACCTTAGCCTTCGTTGTTGCATCCCTGCACGCTTTGACAACATTCCTGTACTCTTCCCAAGTGGCCTGTCCCTCTTTCCACATTCCATAGACCTTTCTCTTCCACCTGAGCTCTGCTAGAAGCTCCTTGCTCATCTCCTCTGTCTTTGGAGCTTCTTTCTAAGCCCCTCCTGATACAGCACATATGTTGCACGATACTTTGTTCAGCAGAGAAAGAAAGATATAAATGCTCTGGTCTCCAGCTGGAGTTTGCTCAGTGCCTTTACCAGTGGGAGCAGTACTCTCTGTACTTAAAGGCTATAGACTGAATGAGGGAAGTACTCACAAGCTTTATATGAATTGGTTTTTGGAAAATATACCTTAAACTCAGAATATGAATTCTTTCAAATTATATGTAAACCAAAATGAAAAATGCTTTTTTTGACCTGCCAGAAAGAAACAAAATATATTGAGAATTACTAGGGTGGCAGCTAAGTGGTCAGCTATATGAAATCACTTCCTTCTGTGGGTGGTTGAGTGGAATTTTTTATTTTTATCAAATTGAAAGAGCTGTCTTCCTACAGCACAAAAACTTGTATTTGCTTCTTTTTTAAATCACACCTAGATGGACTGATAGAGCATGTGTCACATGGCTGAGTCATTGACACTGCTGATGCTTTGTAGACTGAGTCATGCTAGTTGTCAGCACGAGGAAGGAGGAAGACAGACTGAGAGTGATCCTACTCCTGAGAGCTTCTAGCTGAAAATTGTCGAAAACAGGCGCATTAATCAATAAGTAAATCATATGTATAATTTCTTGATCTTCTTAGAACCCTTTTCTCCTGCTTTCCCCTACTATTGTCTTCTTTCTGACAACCACAAAGAAAACTGCATTCTTTTAACATTTTTGCTATGTATATATATGGCAAGAAATGACTGTTATAACTAACAGTTTAAACTTTAGAATAAAGTGGCTGATTTTGCTTTACACAGAACAGGGAGCTGCTTTGCTGGCATCTCAGAGAGGCAGTAGCTTGCAAAAAGAAGTTGTAACAGCCTGAAAGGCAGATGACATCAGAGCTCACCTCCCTGGCTGACAGCATTCCCCGCAAAGTGATGGAAGGCCCAGCTGCAATCTTTAGCTAAATAACCAACAGATTCAGTGTGCCTACTATTGCCCGTACCCACTCGTAAGCCATTGCAGAGCCTGAATGCAGTTTCAACAGAAACATGTGCAGAGAAGGCATGGCAGGTGACATCATTCCTTACGTTTCTCAAAAAGGACTTTGTATAGGTGCCTTCTTCCTGGTACTTCCTCTCTGGCCTGGCTAAAATTGGGGTGGAATCCTGAAGTTTATGAGCACTCAGCGTATCATCTCTGGTTGGCTTTGAGTCTGTCACTGTTCAGTGATGGTGCCGAGTTGTCTCTCAGCATGGCTGCCAGGTGTTGCATGCGGAGGTCATAGTGACTTCCCAAATACAACAGTAAACCCAGTGAAAGAGAAAGTACATATTGCTTGAACTGGTTCAGAAAAGACAGTAGCCAGAGACCTTGCTCTTGGAGCACAGTGTGGCAAGAAGCTGGCAAAGAGTCTGACAGAGTCATTCTGAGGTCTGTAGTATAGCAGTACATACATGCAATATCCAGGAGTCTGCTGGAGTAAGATTGCCTTTTCAAAAGCGTTGAACAAAATTATACTAGCAGATCATACTGTACATATGTACATACAACACACTGTACACAGATTTATGTACAAATGTACAAAATGCACATTTTTAATAGTGTGTACCTATTTTCATTACTGCTTAATTAATTAGAAACACAGTAAAATAGATGTTTCTGTCCCCAAATGTAAAAATAAAAGCCACATTCTCAGTTCTGATATAGCTGTTATTCCTAATTAATAGTTCACAGATCACCTTAAACAGCTAGCCACATTATTTTTTTTCTATTGCATGTACCAGTGTTTTGCATGAAATGGGGAAAGAAACTTTTCTGGTTAGTCTGCTCATATCCTATATTTGAATACAAGAAGAGAGGAATTTAAGGTTATTTTGTCTTGTTGCAAATTAAGAGTGAAAGCACTTTCTCTGAAAAGACAAAATTATTAAAAATACTGGAAAAGAGGGACTTCTCATCACAGTGCATGGAATCTCAAGTGTCCTCCTGACAGACATAACTTACTGTTCGTAACAGGAAGAGGGCTGAACAACTCCACCTGAATCTGTCAATTACCTCATTCCAACTCAGTCTAGCCTACATCATGACTTCTGTGAACAGGCTCAGGCAGAAAATACCATAGAATCATAGAATGGGTTGGAATGAACCTTTAAAGGTCACCTAGTCCAATCCCCTGCAATGAGCAGGGACATCTTCAATTAGAGCAGGTTGCTCAGGGCCCCGTCCAACCTGACCTTGAATGTTTCTAGGGACAGGGCATTTACAGCCTCTCTGGGCAATCGTTCCAGTGTCTCACCACCCTCATTGTAAAATATTTCTTCCTTATATCCAGTCTAAATCTACCCTCCCGTAGTTTAAAACCATTGCCTCTTGTCCTGTCACTACAGGCCCTGCTAAAAAGCCTGTCCTCATCTTGTTTTTAAACTGCCTTTAAGTACGGCAAGGCCGCAATAAGGTCTTCCCGCAGCCTTCTCTTCTCCAGGCTGAACGGCCCCAACTCTCTCAGCCTGTCCTCATAGGAAAGGTGTTCCAGCCCTCGGATCATTTTTGTGGCATCCTCTGGACTCTCACCAGAGCAGAGTAGGGGGGCAAAATCCGGTCCCTCGACCCGCTGGCCATGCTTCTGGGCTGCTAGTGCACATTGCCAGCTCATGTACAGCTTTTCGTCCACCAATACCCCCAAGTCCTGCTCGGCAGGGCTGCTCTCAATCCCCTCATCCCCCAGCCTGTATTGATACCAGCGCTTGACCCAACCCAGATGCAGGACCTTGCACTTGGCCTTATTGAACCTTATGAAGTTCACGCAGGCCCACTTTTCAAGCTTCTCCAGGACCCTCTGGATGCCATCCTGTCCCTCAGGCGTGTCAACTGTACCACTCAGCTTGGTGTCATCTGCAAGCTTGCTGAGGGTGCACTCAATCCCGCTGTCTATGTCATTGATGAAAATACTAAACAGAACAGTTCAGCCAATGTCAGCTTTTTAAGACAGGTAGCAAAGGAAGTATACAAATACTTCCAAAGCAAGAAAATATTTCTGGCACCTTATTCTTGCTCAGTGTCTTCTGCTTCAAAGCTCTCTGCAGGCACCTGTGAAGCACAGCACAACCCTCAGATAATGGAGCACAGCACTGTTGGGGGAGGCCAACATGAACAGCAGTCCAAATCACAGACAGATAAAAGGGAGGCAGTGCAAGAGAACAGTGAGTATGCGGAGCTGCAAGGAGAGTCCTTACTTGATTCAAACATGGCTGTGCAAGACTTCAGCCATGCAGCGCTTGTCCGCAGGTGAGGTATTTATTATCTAGCATTTATTACTTGTGATAACCATCACATTTGTAAATTTTTGCGTAGAGAATGTATATGTCCTTATTCTGAGATACACCCATTAGTGGTGACTCATTTTTAATACTAGATTAGGTTTAAATGTAATTTTCAAATTTATACCCTGTCTACAGCTGAGTTTATACTAACATAGATAAAAATTCCTTCTAAGGAGGAATACATTCCTTCAAGGAGTCCTTCTAACGTATAGCGACAAGGTAGCTGGACATATCTGTCTGCAGGGCAAAAGTTCTCAAATCTAAGTTACTCCATGCAGATAAAACACTATCTTTAATCTGATCAAAGACCTATTTTAATTTCTCTTCAGATGCCATGACATACTTTTCAGACTGTTTTTACAGATTCTGCCTCTACAAATGTGGAGTTGGAGTTTCAGCTCAGTTAAATGGAGGCTTAGGGTATATATTGGGGTGTTGGCAGAAGTTTCTGTCTTTTAATTCTTGTTCTTAGACACACAAATTCAACAGGGAGGGGGTGAATAGTGAACCTGAGCAGGGACCTTTGATCTCACTGAATAATACTCTTTCCATGTTTCTTTTTGCTGGTTTATTCTTTGTTGGACTAGTTCCTGAACTGCCTCACTGTGTGGCCACAGAGTTGTTCAGAAGTAACACTGGGAATGGCATACTGGCAGAAAAAAACAGAAGTGGAGATTTCCAATGCCTGTTTAAACAGCCTGTGTCTGAGGCTGAACACTATCCAGTCTCACCCCCATCAATTACTGTCTACTTTTTTGTGGGCCAGGTCACTGTTCCTGATGTACCCACAATGCACTGTCCAGCAATATGGGCCCATAACATGCCTTATCTGGAAAGCTTGGGGTTCATGTGAGGGTAACTTACAAAGATTACTGGTCTGGATAGCCAGCTTCAGGCCATCTCCCGGTACTGAACACATGCTGGGATGTGTAGTTTTGATAGTGTCTAATCTGCTGGAGTAGTGACAGAAATTAATGCTACAGAGTGCAATCAGATGTTTTTAAGATGCTTTTTCCATTATCCTCACAAAGGCCCAAGTGGAACAACCTGCTGGAACTCACCTGAGTGATCTCCTTTTGCTGCTACGTTCTTAAAAAGTAGACAAAGGGTCAAATCATTGTAACTGTCTATTGACATTTCCTTTCTGCATTTTGCTTTCTCACTCTAATTAGGCTAAGCAGGTTACGATATCATGAAAAAAGCTTCCTTTTATTCTAATTTGCCCTGAACTGAGGTCCTAGCTCTGTCCCCTAATGCTAAGAAAGAAGCTAGAGAAGAGAAAATGTGTTTATAAAAAATAAAAAACCTAATAAGATACAAAGCAGAGACTAAACACTGTGAAAGATAAAAAAATGAGAACTTGTTGAGATCTGAACAGAAACCAGTTCAGCTCCTCGTTTATTCTACAGCTTTCTTGGAATGTGGTCTTGACATAACATGCCACTTGCTTACCTGAACTGGGTTACCAGCAGAAAGGGTATGTCAATAGCCAATAGCCTAATGATATTGCAGGGTCAAATGGTTAAATTATCAGCGATCATCTTCCATGTCATGCTCTGATCACAGTTTTAATTATCCTTTGGTGTTAAGTGGTAAATGCATTTAGCTTGGAAAAGGAGGAGCAAATCAGCAGCGCAGGCACATAGTTTTGAAAAGAAGACCAATAAAACCATAAAATTAACACTTGCTTCAGTGTTAGGAAAGATTTGCATGTCTTCTCATTAATTACCTAAATAACAGAATGAGTTTAAGCATTGTGACCCAGATTATGGTAACCATGCCTGGCAAAGGAGAAATTATAAATCCAGACCTTTTCTGAAATGGTATCTGATTTCTGACCTCAGCTTCTCTGAAATTCAAGCTCAGAATTGTGGGAACTGTATAACTCGAGACAGAACAGCACTGTCTCATGACCCTGAAGGATCAGCGCATCCTGTGCCTCCCTTCTCTGTTCTCATTGTTTTTTCACACATCCAGCTGCAAAAGATCCTGGAAAACAGCAACCATGAACTGGCATTCGCAAAGCCACGAATCCAAAGCTGATTGGCTCTAGTAACTATTGTATTAGTATATAAGGTATTCACTTGAGCAATAAAATGATTCTGATCGAGCACAAGATTGGGGTCCGTGAAGTCATTCACCACACAGAATGTCTCAATGTAGCACTGTGTCATGTGACACTGTTCCTAAGGGTTTTATGTCCTGGGAATACATTTCTCTCTTACCTACTGAACTTGGTAAACAATGTTATGTCACACACGGGAAATGGGGTCTGATGGCAGTAGCAACCTGTTTTATGTGACTCAAGGCCTTACACACCATACTGGGTAGTGCTATGAGTGACAGGGGCACTAGATTACTCATCCTTCTTCCAACCTTCATTAAATCATCAACTTGAAGTTCTGCCGCTTTTAGTGTTGTTTCTGAATCTGTTCTTATCACCAATGTACTGACAAATTGTAGCAGGCTGGATGATCAAAGCCATTCACTGCTCATGCTCTGAGAGACAGACTTCTCTTGCTGAAGAGGATCATTGCAGAGACATGAATCTGGACAGTAAGCAATGTACATGTGTGGGATAAGGATGGAAGAATATGCAGTTCATCACACAGTCATACAAATGCAGTAGCTCTTTCTCCTACTAACAGCAGGACATTTCTCACAGCATTGATGCACAAAATACAGAGCGATCAAAAATGGCTGAAACTAGAGGCAGTGCTGCTGCTCAGGAGAGAAAGTGGGTGATCTCAGAGTCTGTCAGAAAGCACCTGCTGTACAGAAATACCGCAGAATAGTGTGGTCAGGTAGATGAAGGTTTATTTCTGCGATTTTTACTGATTTACACTGGAAACCTGAATGAAGGTTTTCAAAACTAAATGCATCTTACTTTTTAGAATTAATAATTTTCAGATTTAAATAGCCCGATCAGCAGTCATTTGCAGTCATCAGTGAACAGCTGGCTGGTGGTTGGCAGGCAGAGGACTGCCGGTTGGTTGATGCTGTGCTTTATTTCCAGGTGTTGCCCAAGGGTCTCAGAAGATCTGAAGAGAGAGGTCAGATTTTCTACTTTGTTTGAAAATTTCTTCTGTTTTAGAGGAGTGAGAGAGGAAAAATTGGGGATCTTTGTAAATGGAGACCAGACAGACAAATATTTGGAAAAAAATGACATAGTGGTTAGACACATGATTCAGGAAGAAAATATGGAACAACAATTCTAATAGGGAAAGGAAGATGAAGAAGTGTGTTCAGGTAAAATGGGAGTATAAAACAGATTGTAGAAGAATGAAGGATAAGAAAAAAGGAAAAGTATTATTTTTTTCAAAAAAAAGCAAGAGTTCCTGCAAAAAAGTTTAGAACTTCTAAATGTTTCCCATGTTGTATGGAGTCCCTGCAACCTTCAGATAAATCGCATGAATTGTATTTGAGACTAGGAGGGTAAACGCTAATAGGATGATGATTTTTTTTCCTGTTACAGTGTTTCACAATTCACAATTTAAGAATGCATGTTCTAACCAGAATATGTGCAAATGTCATGCCAAATTGTCTTTTGTTTTACTTTTTCTGTGAGATACAAAATGTCTGCAGTGAAAGTACCCAGTATTTCTCCTGATCTGTCCTCTAAGATCCAAGTTCCTCCAGAAACTAATTCATAATGAGCAGGCCAATAACCAATCCACAAGGAACAAACCTTTCACCCTTGCTATACGCAACCACACACATAGTTAGTTTTTAAGAAATATAATCAGGTCATCATTAAACCAGTATTCTGCAATGGAAAATAATTAAAATTCAGGGCAACATCAAAGTTGTCAGAATGTGTTTAATTGAAACATTTTAGAAAAGCTGCTAACATTCTGAGAAATTAATTGCTGTACATGTATTCCTATGGGAAATTATTAAATTAATTGAAAAATCTATAATATGACTGATAGCACTTACTATCACAATAAATGAGCATCACAGAGACAGTTGTTAATTAGGATTCAAGATTAAATGGGGACAGTCTGATAAGAATGGAGTGTTTTCACCTAAGGCAGTTCTGTGAAGGAAACCTCTTCATTTGAAGCTTGAATATTATGCACCCAGTCCTAGAGAAGTTTCCTGTAGAATAGCTTGTCGGAATGTAGAAATCTAGATCTACAAATATCTGTGATAAAGAAATTTGCACACTTTTTCTACTGCACACAATACTAGTTCCTTTTTGCCTGTGGACAGTCTACAAGATCAGCTTTTGGGCCTGCTTCCTGCAACAAAATAGGCTAAAGTCAAAGACTGCAGAAATGTCAGATGCTTGTATAAGACATTATTAATTAACATGATGTAATAATTTCTGATAAGCAAGGCTAGTATAGAGAAAATAAAAGGAATTCACAGAACGACTAATAAAAGGCTTTATAATAATTTTTAAAAGCTGGTATGCTATTATTCTGTAGAAATCCTTACTGTAGCTGAACCAGCATGTTTGCTTTTTTATGTGGAATTACTTGCTGTACAGGTAATACAATTTCATGAAAACTCTTTAATAAACTTTCAGCATGATTTAGCTGTAGCCATTCGTTATTCTATCTTGTCAACCCAGCAGAAATATCAATGAAAATTCATTTCACATTCTGAAGCGAGGAATCCTGCTTGGGAAAGGCCACGAGTAGAACAGCAGAATGCCGGCAAGCAGGAACCAAGGTGTATGAGAAGCGCCCAGGGAGGAAGATGACATAGCTCTGTTATCCTGAGCACACAATGTTGCCCTGCATGCATCATTCACCTGCCTTCGAAAGGTGAAATGAGGGCAAGTGTTTTCCACTTTGTTACTTCACAAAATTCATGGAAAAGTCACGGACTCTTTTTCAGCCAAAGAAATGGGCATTGGCAATAGGGTTCTCTGTTTCCACACACATTACCTGCCTTGCTGTTGCAGCTACTGGAATTGGCATGCAGCAGTCATGAGGTGTGTTTGTCCAGCAGGCC